CTCCCACATGGGTGGGGGCCACCCCACGTTTTTGAGAGCTCAAGGTTGACTTTGGGGGGCTGCACAACATTTCATGAGTGGTTGGCATGGGTTGAGAGTGAAGGTTGGGTAAGAGGTGACCTAAGGTGGGCTTTTCCCTTCACTCATTTGCCTATTGAGACAAAGGAAGGTCTCCTCACTCCCCATCCTCCTATTATTTCGTCCACCCCTATTCCATCAAGAGAGAGAGACTCTCAATACTCATATCCTCCAGTTTTGAAGTTATTCAAGGAAGGAGTTCAAGGAAGGAGTTAAGTGGGTGTATTTGAGAGGAAAGCTTCAGAAAAGAAGGTAAAAACCTTATTAAGACTTTTCTTACAACCATACAACATCATATGAATTGTTCACCATATGAAGGACCCCTATTATTGCTCTACATGTTAAAAAGTGTAGAAAGAGGGGTTGGAAGGTGGTTCTAAGTCCAAGAACGGACTTAGAGGCCAAAGAGACCTGTTCGCCGGAAAATAACCTTTGGGAGAAGGACCAAATATGACACTGAGATTTTTAATGAATCTCGTATTGGACACTGGGGTCTTTAGTAGACCAAATCAACACTGATTCCAATGTATGTGTTGATTATTGGCCACTCATTAACACCTCCGTTTAAAGAGTTCTTCTCCTTCAAGTAAACACACAACCCTGACGAGCGTAAACAAAGTTTGATACTCTTTCTTCTTCTTGCTCTTTCCTTTCAAATTTCTCCGCTCGTCTCCGGGAAGTGATAGATTCTAGTAAAATGTGTTCTCTTGAAAGCGGTGTTCCATTCAAGAAAGGTCAGAATCATTAGCTTTTGGTTCGCCCATCATCAGGAGTAAAAAGACTTAGATCGAGATGCACAAGGTCACTACTCTTTAAGAAGATTGAATATCTGCAATGAATTTGTACTGTGGGGCTGTTTTTCTTCTTCATTGTGTTATTCCAGATCTTGTTACTTGGTTCATTTGTGAAAAAATCAGAAAATTTCACAAAAGAAAGTGATGTTGGGCCTAGGGATATGGAGTTCTTGAAAGAACTTGGTGGGTTGAATTTTTGTGAATATTTGAAGTTTGAGCCTTCCATAGCTAAGTTCAATGTGTATATTGGGTCTGGGAGAGCAATAGGATCTCCCCATAGGAAACCCAAACTCGGATTAGTGAGTATTCATATTATTTTGTCAATTATTGTTTGGGTTGTCGTGGATGGTTGGTATAACGATTTTCTGGTAATTTTTTGCTAATTTGTTGCTCATTCATTCCAAGTAATGATGATTAATGTTGCAGTAACTTGAGGGAGATTGGGTAGGAAGTTCAGGCGACTCACACTTGCAATCCATGGAGAATGGCTTAGGGATTGCAAATCGGGGGGAGGGGGGTGCTTTTAATCGAAGGAGAAGACGGTTGTTTAACGGGAGTGTTAGTGGGTGGCCAATAATCCACGCATTAGTTCAAATAAGTGTTTATTTGGTCTACTAAACACCATAACTTGGGGGGAAGACTACATGTATACGTATCACCCTATGTTTGGGTCTTATACTTGAAACGTTAGTTATTCTACATTTAGCCTGCTACTCACTCGGTACTTATACTGACCCCTTCGGGGAGGCCCACCATTTCAGGTTGAAGCTAAGGCTAGCTATCCCCACCTTGCTCGGTGAAGTGATCCAAATGAAGACGTGGTTCGTGCTTCCTTTATTGTTTTAAACTACAAACTATGCTCATGGATACCTTGTAATAAGTACATTTGTTTTGGGTCTGCGAGCCCACGTTTTGGCCATGTGTGGCCTATGATTGAATATTGAATATTTCCATTATTCGTTCAATCCGAAAATGTGATGTTGTTATGTATGTTTACTTACTGAGTATGATATGAACTATGTTCATGGACGTCTTATATGATTAAGTCATGTTGACTTGCGAGTGACGTCATTTGGGCATACGGCGGTTGTACACGCGCTTAGATGCGGTCTGGGGCGTGACACACAGTTAGGTTCGGTTGTGATTTGATGACTTGTTTAATTAGAACCCATGATTAAGGGTATCTTGTTAAAGGTCTGTTTGGTCCACTTATACACCCGATATTGTCCAGACCGATTTCGTTAGAGGTGGTGTGTTAAAAGTATTCGTCCCACACTGAAACACTATAAAATAATAATTAAAAAACACTATATTAGACTTTGGACTACCTCTTCTATCAGGTTTACCTTTTATGATGGAATCTGAGATCTTAGCATCCAATTCCATGTCAATGTAATCCCATCCCGCTTCTTTGAGCTAATTAAGAGCTTTCCCTTGGCTAACACTTCCTTGGTCAACTGATGACACCTTATGAAATATTTGTACCATACCAGAAAAAAAAATCATGTTTGGTGTACACAAAATGTGTACACCTTTGACACACACTATATAAAGCTCCCCTTCATTTTTACCCCTTCCTTCCTCTCGTTTCTCTCTCTTTTCATACCAAAATCTCCCCCACTCCCTCTTCTTCTTTCCTTTATCTCAAATCTTCATCACATTCACACCCACCATCTTCATCTTGTTGACTCCCTCTCCAATTATTCATCATTTTCCACTTCAATCTACCTCTTCATATTCATCACCTCTCACATCTTCCATAATCATCACCTCATCATATTTACCATTATCATCTTTTGGGATCGATTGGAAATAGAAAAGTTTGAGAGTCACCGAAAAGTCACTAGAAAATTAGAGATGAACATTCGTCGGAATCTTTATCTATGTCTATGTATACAGACATTGGTTTTTTCAATGTCTATGTACCTAGACAAAATTGTTAAGCACATATAAAAATGTATAAATTCATTGTCTACATACAACTAAATGTTTATACACAGACATTGGTTTGTGCGCTGTGTTAGAAAAATGCCACACTCTGGTTGCACGGAACCCAATGTCCATAAACGGACATTTAGTTGTTTGTACAGACAACTTGTAATTTTTTTCATGTTTAACAATTTTTTCTGCACACACAAACAAAAACTTTAAGTATAGACGTAAAATGTACAAATTGCTTGTGTAGAGACAAATAAATGCATGTATGCAGACATTGAATTTTGTGATGTGTTGTAGAAAAGCCAGAGTTTGGTTGCACATAAACCAAATTCTGTGCGTAGACATTTAGTTGTTTATAACTTTGTACACACACAATTTGTACATTTTTATCTGTGCTTAGCAATTTTGTCTAAGCACACAGACATTGGAAAAACCAGTGTCTATTTTACACCGACAAAAATTTCGACAAATGTTCATCTCAAATTTTCTGGCGACTCTGAAACTTTTTTTTTCAACCATGGAAGTTGATAATGGGAAAGATGATGAGGTGATGTATATGGAAGATCGTGAAGATTGGATGTGATGAATATGGTGAATAGATGAAAGTGAAAGATGATGGAGATGGTGAAGATGGATATGAAGTGAGGAAGGTGATAATGATGAATATGATGAGGTAGATGGAAGTGAAAAAATGATGGAGATGGTGAAGATGAAGATGAAGTGGGGAAGGTGAATGTGTAATAAAAAAGAAAGAAGAAAGAACAAGAGCGAGTGAGGAAAGAAAAGACTCTATAGTAAAGTAATGGGTGGACAAGAATGAGGTAGAATCTAAAATTAAAATCGTAAAAATGTAAAGTATTTATAATGTGTACCAAATGTGTTCAAGAAGCGGGCAGTTGGGTGATTATGTTTTTCAACTTATCGGACTTATCAATCAACTTTTAACCAAACATGTAACTTAGATTTCGCACGCTAAATTGTGTAATAATAATAAAATAAGATTGAAGTTACTTTTCTGACTGGATTGACTGAAAATTACCGTAGAAGATCATTTTAGCAGTTTTATATATAATTTTTTTCTTTATTTTATTAATAAATTATATTTTAAACATTTTTTATAAATTAGCATAATCAGCCAATCCAACAACTTCAATCAGAACTTCATAACTTTGAACCAATGGAAGGGGGATGAACATCTATAAATTATATATATATGGTACAGACGGTTGTACCATGCACGCCAGATATTTTAACTTATACCTAATGAGTATGTAGTTAAAATGAAATGAGTATTGATATTAAATTATAAAATTAATACATAAATATTAATATTGCATATATTATGTTTTGATTATGATACTTAATTATGCAATTCTAATACTCAATTGTGTTATATGTGCAATCATTTCATTCAGGATCCTCGGCCGGTACCAAAACCTAAATACGTTTGTCGGCTCTTTCTCTGTCTAGGGTGGGTTTCCACCGCTAGAGTTTTTTCCTCCGCTATCATTTTATTATAACGAGGAGCGGCCGCCACAGGCGGGTTTAGGCGTACATGATTTCTTCTACCGCCATCAATTGTGCGGTTTTTCTTCTTCTTTTGTTTGACGAGATTAAGCGGAGGGAAGATGATGCTTAATCTTTGGCGGTTGAAGGTGGTGCAGGGACGGAAGATGGATGTTTGGTTTTCGGCGGCCAAAGATCATGGACAAAGCGTGGGGCTTGAGGCTGGAACAGATATGGATCGAGGTCATCTGTGTTAGGTGGCGACAAAGGAGGCTTGATAAAGAACATGATGAATAAGAGAAAAGATGAGGAAGAAACTACTATACTGCTAGATCGTCCTCCCCTGAACCGCCGCCATGGAATACAGGAGAGTCTAGACTGTGATATCAATGTAAGCCCCCTCTTCCAAAAAAACAACAATGCCTGATGTACCCACTCTTATACCCATCTTATACTCACCATGTTTGTGGAGGGTTTTTTTGTCGAACCCGGTTCATAGACAATATTTTGTTTGTGCAAAATATTGTCTGTGAGGTGGGATTCACAGACAAAAAAAAACACTTCACAAATATAGGTGAGTACAAAAGTGGGTATAAGAGTGAGTACAAACATCATTTTTGAAAAAAAATAATCAATTGTGTTATCAATACAGTGTATCTAATACTTATCCTCTTTTTTTAAGAGCTTATTACGAGTAACATAAAATTGCTTTCCTCTTGGGGGCCTGAAGGTTGCCAGAACGGAACACTTACAATTGATGCTCCCGTAGGCGATATCCATCGATAGGAAGATGCAGAAGGGGACGATTGACATGAAGGGTTTCCGATGGTGGGCGGTTAAGCTAATCGGTTTGGTACCGGAAAGGGTTGAAAATGGGTGATAAAAGAATGAAGAATCATATCAAGGGCGTAGTGGGGGATCCAAATTCCATACAGGTGGGTGTATTGAATTTGCTTTGAAGACAAGATACATGATTGTATTACTGTTTAGGAAGTTTTTTCTTTTTCCAAACTCAAAGCTCCCTGGACATCATCATTGCCGATCAGGACAGACGCTAAGAGTACCTATGTAGCACCGATACCGGTACGCGGAAACGTGGAAACGCGGAAACGGGTACGGGGATACGTCAAAACCAAAAAAAGTAGGATACGGATACGGGGCCATATTTATAAATATTAAAAGTTATGGGGGTGTATTTACAAATATTAAAAGTTATAGGGGTCTATTTATAAATATTAAAAATAGATTATTTTTTTGAATATATATATATATATATATATATATATATATATATATATATTTACACACACACACATATAATATCCTATGATGTCTACTCATTCATTGCATTGAAGCATTTTCCTTTTTCAAGATATTTAGTAATAAATTCATAATATTTCTCATGTACACTAGTGCATCTAGAAATATAAATGTAGTCAATAAGTCATTAATTTAAAATGAGAAATAAGTCAAACAACTACAATCTTGAAATTAAAAGTGCAAGTACCAACTTCGAAGTATGAGTTAATGACTTAATTCGGATATAGTCATATAGGCCCATTATTTGATTACCAAGTAAAATGTAGTTTTAGGTTTTCATTTTTTTTAGAATTTTATTAAGTAAATTTTGGGATTTTTTTTTAAAAGTTGATACGGGTATCCGTCAGGATACGAGTATCGGAAACTTTCAAAATATTACAAAAAAAAACGGAAACTTTTAAAAATTACAGATACGGCCCGGGAACGTACGGTACGGGTATCCTAGAGTATCGGATACGGGAACGTATCCGATACGCCGATACGCTACCCTAGGGAAGTATCCGTGCTTCATAGGCTAAGACAATATAAAATTGGTGAATCAAATGAAGATGCAGCCTAATGTTACATCCCCCGGCCGGAATTCTAACACCAAAATTCCTCAGCCCCTGCAAACTCCATGGAAACCCTCCTCCGGCTCCTGCTTTGTTATCTCATCATCCCTGCATTCCTTCAATACCTCGTATCCTCCGACGAGGAAACGGATTCTAGTGATCGTATTCTCCTGCCAGCACCTAGCCTATCTTCAACCTAGTGTTTCTTTTTTTATTTTACTGATTTTTTTATGTATAATATCATTCCCAAATACACCTCTGAAAAATTCAAGGATCTGTTGAATGTCATTCTAGAGCTATTTTAGGAACGGCAGTAATTTTGCTCTTGACTGCAAAAACTTTTCTGTTACTTCGTCTACCATAGTAACCTTTTTACTTTATCAACCTGCTCTTTAGCCATTGCTGGGTTTGGAATTCCCAGAGGGTGAAACTTATTTTTATTAATTTGTTCATACACTTACGTGAGCTATTGGGCAGTAGCCTCTCTGTAGTATCCTTCTTTATTTGTAAAGTTTCAGTGGTAGATGTCTAAACTCTAAATTAATAATTGGGATGTGTGTTTCTTTCTAATACGTTGTAATATCTCATCAGTCACTTTTATGCACTTCCCACTTTAATGAATCAATTAATTATGAATTCAACTTGAATACTATTACTAGTATGATAAGGTTGTAACAAAGAGGTAATAAGACGCACTGTCTGTCCGCATGCAGTGGTTGTACTCACATCTCTCAAAGACCAGTGGAAAAACACGCCTCCAAGTTGGGAGAAATCAGACGATCCTTGTGGAGGATCCTGGGAAGGAGTAGCCTGCAAAAACTCTAGGGTTACTGCATTGTGAGGGACCTTTCCTCAGTATATATCTTTGACTAAGTTTAGCAGACGCTATTTTATGTCATAACTTGTCCGTTGTGCTGTTTCTACTACCTGGTAACATAAATTGAACTTAATATCCAGAGTTTTTTTCATTTTCTTTGGGAAACATCATATCATATTTTCTATTATTACTAATTTACCCAGTTGTTTACCATCCATTACACTGTATGTTTTGCAGAGACCTGTCATTTAACCGAGACCTCACAGGCTCTATCTCTGTAAGGATTGGAGATCTGCATAAACTAAGCATATTGTAAGGGGCCATTTGGTTCACAACATATTAGACTACACGTGGAATGTGATCTAACTTAGGAATGTTCGATTGTTGGAATGTGTTTAATATAATTATTGTTGGTATGTGTTAATATCAACTAATAATACTTTTTTATTTAATATGACTCTTACCAAAGAGGTCAAATCAAGCTAAAATGCTAAGAATAACCTACAAAATAAAGTGGTATAAAATTCTAAGATAATTTAAATATAACATGTGCAATTTCTAATTTAATAGATATTACCTGCAGAGTTGTTGATGGTGAGGAATGGCGCGTGCGCCATGTGGCCATATGGCAAGAAAATTGTCCTGCGCCATGGAAAGTCCTCATGGTGATGACCATACTCATGGCGGCGCCATATTTGCGCCATCTCAATTGCGCCATAGTATTTAACAAATCTGAACTAGTTTACTTTGTAATTTTGGGGCTTGTAGCCCTGATAAATACTTAAATAATCTGCCAGACATAATATTAATAAAACCCTAATTACAAATTAATATGTAGCCCATTATATTAACAAAAACCTATCAAAAGTAAATAAAGAGACAAGTAACACGTAAAGTCAGACAAAGCTGCTGAAGTAAACGTAAAAGCTGGAGTCTGAGCTGCGCAACAAGGAACGACTAAGGGAACTCCATGGAACCATGAAAATTTGTAGAAAATCAGAAACATAGAAAGGGGTGAGCCAGAAATATATGCTTTTCTCTAGGAAGAGGAAAAAAACGTTGTTCTTTTCATTCTCAATAAATTTGTAGAACCGACAAAGGGAGATTTTTTTCCCTAACCGACAATTTGTAGGACAACTTGTTATATCTTTAACATTTCTGCTTTTCTCCCAGATATATTTGAAAATCTCCCAATTGCATGTATGCTTTTCTGAAAACCGATAAAAACAAGGTAACATGTTTTGAAAGACATGAAACTTTTTTGAATATTATGTTTTTTGGAACTACTTTAAACTATTTTAATTTCACATGTTTTGGTTAGAATGTTGGTATTCAAGTTTTTATATCATGTTTTGGTGTTTGGGTGATAGAATTATAGTGTCTATAATTCATATTTTTAGTTCTTTTTGTCATGTGGCGATGCCATAATTACGCCATCGCCTTGCAAAAGTGCCTATGCGCCATGGATGTCGCCACACACCATGAAAACTATGATTACCTGTAGTATCTCACATCTGGCTTCCGGCCAACCAACCCACAGTAATTTAGTTTGTTTGGATTTCAGGATTCTTGCTGGGTGTAGCTTTAGTGGCAGCATACCTGTTGATCTTGGAAAACTTTCAGATTTGTCCTTCTTGTAAATATATAATAAGTTTGGAAAACTTTATGAACTTCTTGAGTGAAACCTGTTGATGGATAGTCTACCCGGGGGGTATCTTATCCGAGGGGTTATTGCGTGAATAAATAGAGAGAAGTCAGAGCAAAATAGGAGGAGAGAGAGTCGATTTATTAAATGAACTCAGCGTGTCTTTACAAGGTGAATAAGGGCTGCTATTTATAGCAGCAATAAATGCGATGAGAGTACACGTGTCAGTAATCCGACGGCCGAGGGGTCACATCAGCCGGGTGGCACCGGCAGTGGTACGTTCACCGCATTGAATGCGGTTGGCGGATGTGACGTGGCATTAAATGCGGTGGTTGGCTGTCTCCAAAAGGAATCTTCGATGATTGAGCATGTTTGGCCGAAGGCTCCTTGCGTAGCCGAGGGCTCCATGTGACCAAGGCGCTGTGTAGCCGAAGGCTCCTTGCGTAGCCGAGGGCTCCTTGCGTAGCCGAGGGCTTCGTGTGGCCGAAGGTTTGGTTCAGCCGAGGGCTCCTTTTTCCTTCCGTTTTCTCCCAGTAGCTTCGCGTGGTCGGACATGGTTGTTCTGTGAGTTTTTGAGCCTTCGGCCAAGGGGCCGAAGGCACCCCTGTGTGTACTGTGGGCTTCTTGACACTTGGGCCGCTTACTCTTGGGCCTCCTGAGCCCCTTGGGCTTGTTGGGCTTGTGATAGATTAGCAGGAGTCTGTGGGCCGGGGGTTCCCGGGCCATATACTCCATCTGGAGTCCCTCACTCCTTTTGCCGAAAGGTACTTGAGGGAAAAAGGAGTAATTGTGTTGATTCTCCCGAAGGCTTCATCGTTTTGTTGGGTGCCTTTGACTGATCACTTATCTTCTGCTGTTAGCCGAAGGCCTCCCTCAGTCCCTCACATGTCGAGGGTTTTCTGAGGGAAGAGTATAGATGTATTGCCCGTATGTGTTGTTATGAGGGCTGCGTCAATTGTAAATTGTTGCATGAGGAAATTTTTGTTCTGTATGATTCCCGAGGGGTGCGTACCAGTCCCCCACTCCTTTAGGTCGAAGGCAAGTTCGGACCGAAGGAGTTATGATGTGTTGATGCGAACCCGAGGGGTGACAATACTGACAAGTCGGGGGCTTACGCTGCCGCAAGCTCGAAGGCGTTTGATGAAATTTGCTGGCAGAAGGGTGTGGTGAGTGATAGCCGGAGGCTACCATTCGAGAGCACCCCAGTGTTGTCGAAATATAGTCGTTGTAATATAGCCGTTGGGAGAGGGGTTGACGTGGCGTGTCCCCACTGGCTGGAGGGAGCGGCTGTCATCCATTGGTTGAACCGGCGGCCTGTAATGATGGGCTTTCGAGTCGAGGCCCAGTTCTCGAGGCCCAGTTGCCTATAAATACCCCAAGACCGAGCTCACTTCCGTTGCGCGATTTTTGCGATAGCGAAGCTCTGGCAAATTGATTCTAGAGAGAGAAAGTTTCTTCCTTCGATCAAACCCTAGCTTTCGAGGTCAGTCCTTCTCCTGTTCTTGAGTTCTTTAGTAGGTTTTGCTCTTTCCTTCCTTGATTAAGTGTTAAAAACAATTTAGAGCCCCCCGGTTAGGATCTCGTCCCTGCCTATTGTCATGTCTTCCGCGAGTGATTCCCAAGATATCTCGAGGGACCCCTCGGTTCAAGTCGAAAGCATTTCTGACGTGGTGTCTTCGAGCGAACAGCCCTCGACAACCAACGATCTGGCCGTAGCTGAGGAAGTGCAGAGCCGCCTCCTCGTGGAGATGGAAGCTGAAGACTTCGAGCAAGTAATCGAAGACGAGGAGATGGCCATTGCGGTCCAAGTTGCCCAAGAGGCGGAAGAGAGTGAAAGGCAGAGGGTTACCGTGGCTATGCTCCCCCCCTCGCAGAACTGATGAGGCAAGTAGCTCCCGGCCCTTAGATCCGGAGCCCCTGAATGTTGCCCCCGCCAAGAAGAAGAAGAAGCTGAGGGCCGCTCCAAAGAAGAAGCAAGCGGTCGTGGACGCTGGGCAGCCAGTCGGGATCCCTGAGGGGCACTCGTATTTGGACACTACGGCCCTTGAGGTGAAGACCACAGCGTCTGGAGCCGAATGCTTAGCCCTCCAAGTCCTCGTGGGGCCGTCGGCACAAGTAGTGGAACCGGGGCCCGATGACCTACTATCCCATCCCCCCGAGGGGTGCTTCTCGGTGCATATGCTGTCGGTGGAGTTGGGTCTCAGATTCCCACTCCACCCCTTCGTCGTTGAATATCTGAGGTTCGTTAAATTGGCTCCCTGCCAACTTACACCGAACAGTCATTATTACCTTGCGGGATTCCTGGCCCTCTGCCGCAGCCGGGGGGTGACTGCCACACTAGACCAGTTCTTTGTTTCCTTCAATCTCTGTCGGGGAGGGCACTCGCATGCTGGGGGTATGCCAACTTGCAGCAGGTCCCGGCATGGAAACTCTTCTCTGAGACCCCCTCCTCCCACAAAGAATGGAAGGAGAAATTCTGTTATATTCGAATGGCCGAAAATCCATTCCCGGGGGCCTTGCGCAATCACTTCAAGAGGCATCCGAAGGTGGGAAATGCAGCTCTCGATAAGGCGGGGAGGAAGCTCACCAAGAAGCCCGAGGGTTCCGACCAAGTGATTACGATTAAGGAGGCGGCATCACCTGAGGAGCTGTACCTGCTGGGTTTCCGGCGATATCGCCTTCCGGGGGACGAAGACGAAAAATATCCTTTGATCGACCGGGGGTATCAAAACGCCGGAGGTTGTAGCCGGGGGCTCTTTGTTACTGGTACTTAAGATTATTTTTCGTACTCTACTTGCTTTGATTCTAACCCCTTCTGAATTGCTGCAGGTGATATTATAGACGTGCAAGCCTTCGCTCGGTTGTCCAAAAAACTGGCCAAGGTGCCGAAGAGGAAGAAGGAGGAGGGGCCCTCGGCGAACCAACCCCTCGTCGATGAAGTCTTGAAGAAGGCTGGGGCTTCTAAGACTCCGGAAGATAAGGAGTCCACTAAGGAGGTTCCTTCTGCTGATGCCGGTGCTGCTGCCGGGGGCTCCCAAGCTGGGGAGCTTAAGAGAAAAAACGCTGGGAAGGGCTCCAAGCCTCCGGTGACTAAGAGACCGAGGGGGGCCGAAGAAGGTAAGGGTGCCCCCTTGGTGATCCTTGAAGAGCCCTCCTCCTCTCACCTGGTGGATCTTGACGAGGGGGCTTGGCCACAGGAGACGGTGCGGTTCTCTTTTAAGAAGGGGACTGCCATCGTCCATGGCACCCTCGATCCGAGGGAATACTTGGAGGGTGCTACTCCCCCCCTAGATCGATCGACCCTCGGTAAATTCGAGGATGAAGCCCTCGAGCGGAAAGCAGTTGAGGCTTCGGTCACGGTAAGTTCCTTCCCCTCGCTAAACACATGCTTTGCTTTCACATATTTCTTGCTTGCAGGCTCTGATTTTTAGTATCCCTCCTTTGTTTGCAGGCTAGCCTGGCCTTCGGAGAATATGTTCGGAGAATGGAACAGCTTCGCCTCCGGAAAGCGGAAGACGATGAGGCCCTCAAGAGGCTTGTCGCCAAGAACACTGAGGCCATCAGGAAAATGGCTGAGCTGGAGGAGGCCCTGAGGCAGGCGGGCGACAAGCTGGAGGCCGCGAGGGTGGAGGCTCGCGCCGAGGGGAAGGCCGAAGCGGAGAAAGCC